AGCAATTACTTTTCTTCTTTCATCTTGAAGATTATTCCACGGTCTGTTATTGAGTTTTCCTAACCAATTTGAGATTTGGTGCGTTTCTAATGATGATTGGTGGCTTGTTGTGGTTTCTACTATATTACTAACACAGTTTTGAGTGCTTGAGCTGTCTGACTCACTGATTGTTGTCTCTACCAGATCTGGATGTTGTTTAGCGTATCTGTTTCTTGAATTGAAGGCATATCGCAACTGCGTTATTTTTCCATGTGTTAATTCATCACTTTCTTTAGTTATTGATGAAATTACGTTTGAATTCAGACTATTGAAGCTTGTTTGCAGACTACCATCTGGACTCTCAAATAACGAAATTTCTGAATTATTTCCTGTAGATCGTTTATCCCGCGTTCTATACAGCCTTTTACAATATCGTGGTGTAGGGCTCTTTATGCTTTCTGAATAGGAGTCTGAAATTTCAGAGAGCGATGATGATGTCAGACGGAAGGAGCTTGATGGTTCTTTTTCATGAAGTGTTCCATTGGTAACTGAGGTATCGGCATTTCCAACCATTTTCTTGAGGCGCACAGTGTGTAATACACTGTCTTGAGCAAGTTTCTTGTATACGAATCGATGGTTGAATCGTGTTATGCGATGGGATGAAGTTTCAGTACGTTTTACCATGCTGTTGTAAGGTTGAAATGTTGATGAAATATTTTTCTGATTGTGAGCGGTAGCAAAACGAGAACCTGAATTTTTTATCGTATTATGGGCTACAGAAATCTTGGTTGGTTGATGGTCACGAAATATTGGGGTCGAGATACATGTGGTCCTCTTTGCTACTCCTGGTATGGCAGATGAGACTTCAATATCATCTGTAGCTAAATTTTGAACTTTATTATGACTACTATTTGTACAAGACAGATCCAGGTCTCCTGCTTCCAAAAACGTTCCTATTTGTGAGAGCCTTTGCGAGTATGAAGAAAACGGTGCCACAAGAAGTGCAAATTGTGATGGAGAAAGAGGATGCTGCTGAACGCGCACGCTTCGAAGATATCCCTCGATGTAATCCAGGTGCGAATCGATCTCTCTGGCGTACTCTGTCGAACTTTTATCCATCAATACAGGTTGAGTAGGACGCTAATTACTATTAATAGTAATAACCACTAAAGGTTCCAAGTTCAAGTGAATCACACAGCACGTCCCTTCTATATTGATTTAACACTAAAAAAGGCCTAGTGCAGGAAGAATTTTCTACCAAAATGGGATAATAAGGAATAATTTATCTATAAAGGTACTAACTAAATGTACTATATCGAAAAATTTTCCAGGGATCATGATAGGGTATATTGACCCTAATTTTTCGTTTATGCAATATAATGTTTTGAAGTTATCTGTGCAGGAAATAAAAGGTAAAAGTGAGTTTAAGTGAAGGACACACACACTCACACACACAACACAAAATGTCACTATAGTGTTTTAAGATTTAATGTATACAAAGACCTTTGTCTTGATATTTTTTTCCCCCTCTATAGTTCCTTTTGATGAAACGGAGAGAATTGTGACAAATTCAGAGAATGTGAGAAGGTAAATACTCGCTGAGTGTGTAAGAGGGCGTCGATTACTTTTCTATCTTACGCACATATCACTTGATTGAAGTCTTTGTGTTGAGATTTTCATTACTGAGTGAATGTATTACCTCTAATTCTTTCCTTTTTTAGAATAACAGGTTAGTTAGTGCTGACTTTGCTAAGATCATCGTAGTGTGCATAGACTATAATCCTCACATAAAGACGTCTGAACACTTCAAAAGTTTCAGATATCCAGTTTCTTTTCCAGAAGTCGGAGTCGTTTCAGAAGCCCATGGGGATCCTCGTTTACTGGTTCTCTCTCTAGCCTTCCCAACTCTGATTCAATCGCCTGCAGCTTCTCCGAGGACATGTAATTTGTTGAGGTTGAGGACGCAGACTCGTCAGTATCATCATTATCGGTGTCACTCCCTGAGCTGCTGGTGCTGCTGCTATTAGAGCTTTCTTTGAGTTTTCTGTCATGATCAGACCGCTTTGAGACGCGCGGCCGCTTCTTTGTCTTTGGTAAGTCCTTCAGACGAGGAAGTCGTCTACGCGGACGTTTTACATTTGGATTTGAAGGGGCTACCTGTTCTTTAGACGCTTCATCACACTCGAGGCCCATATAGGAACATACCCAGTGGTGTGGTGGAGGGTCGATACGCTTGGGGAGCTTACGCCATGTACGGCATTCATCACAGCACACCCAGAAGATGGTGTCTTTCTTTTTCGCACTTGTACTCGAAGCTTTCGGAGGCTTCAGCTTCTGCGCTTTAGTTTTCGTGCGGTGATCTGGATTATTTTTCTTATTTTTTTTTATATTTAAATTATCCTGTGAATGAGGTATGAGACGAAGAACCCTAGGACTCTTGCTAGTCTCGTCGACTTTCGAAAACGGCTCAGTGCCGTGGTTGAGATTGAGTCCGGTTTCATCACATTTTTGGGCAAGTAAAAACTCCTTGGCCATTTTGCTCGGTGGAAACGCCGCTTCCAGTTCTTCAGCTGTCCATGAAGATCCTTTCTTAGCATGCGGCTGGTGTTGATGCTCCCCACGCCGCCCCACCAATGGAGAGGTATCTTGCAGGACTGTGTCTTTCTCGTCACTCTGCGCATCACGAATAGCCTTTCTGGCAGCGTTAACCAGCCGTTCGGCGCAACATGCGAGCTCTGAGGAGATACCATTGTAGGTAGTGCAGTTATTTTGAAGGATAGTGAACCGTTCACGCAAGGACCTGTAATTTATGAATTCATCGCCACTCGTCCTTAAAGTAGCATCATTGCTTGAATGTCCCTTTTTGTCTCCTTCGCCGTGTTTTATGCTGTCCAATGTCGCGCCACGCAGGACGTCTGCATATAGACTGTAGAGACTAGCCGCATCACTAATCTTTCCATAGTATCCAGGTGCCTCTAATTCTGGAACAGGTAACCGGAAGGCCTTTGAGTTCGGATGTATCCATGCCTCATCTAAGATATGCAGTAACCGAAGCATACGCTCAGGGCTCGGAACTATAGCTACGTGCATGTCATTGGTCTTTTTAATTTCTTGCCCCAAAGGTACTTCCATGTGACTGTCCGCTCTCTCATAAAGCTTTACAAGCCCATTCTCAGCATTCTTGCGGACCCATCTGTTTAAATTCATGCTCCCATTATCGACGGGAATCTGGGTAATCGCGACAAACGCAGTTTGGCATCCTTCTTCAAAGACCCACGGCCGCTGCAGCGGTTCACAGCCCAGCTCCCCTCCCTGTGCGTTGGATTTGTCAGCAGCCTTGCCAGCGCGCAAAAGATCCTCTGCCATCAGTCGTGCAACTCGCACCGATTCATACCACCACTCTAACCCCGCGCAAGTGAAGTGCAGCCTCTGCGTGCTGTTGTCTTCCTTCTGTGACTTGGTTTGCCGTGAGCTTAACTTCCGCGGGCGCCCTCTCCCTGTTGAGTTTTTGATCTCCTGAGAAGCACCGAAGGAGGGACCCTGGGAGAGGATCAATACATCCCAGTGCTCCCGCCACAACTTCTCGAAGGCCTTGACCATTGCCTCGTAGAACACCCCCGCTGAGTGCCGGTCGAGCGATCGCAGGGTCGATTCGAAGCGATGTTGAAAACATCCATTGAGATCCACCTCTAAAAATCGACCCCACCATCCAATTGCTACCGGGTTTTTGGTCTCCTTACCATTATCCCGCGCTGGATACGGAATGTGTAGCTTGAGCCGATCATGACCGAGTGGCCGCGGCCTAGTGGGGTTCTCATTACCATGTGAAACCTCAGTGATGCCCATTGGACGAGGTTCCGCCAATGCACACACGGGGTACCTGGGGTCTGTAACAGGGACAGGTTTCAAGGCTGGCGTCACGGCCGCCTCCCCGTTCGCAGTTCCAACCCCACGTGTCACAACAGGGTGGCCCATGCCCGAGGACTCTTCGTCCGAGTCTAGAAAGGGCTGTGTCATAGTGCCGGAGTGCACTGGGGCCGTTCGGGGGGGGGTTCGCGTCTTGGGTTTGTCATCCGTCTCATGGGTTCGGGCTAGCAACGAGAGCGTTCGCCTTGGGTCCTTATAACTTCGAAGCAGAAGACTCTTCCCTGAGGCCCGTTGTAATGAATGTGGGGATGGTGAGGATGAAGTGAGAAAGCTATCTCCACTCATCACACAGATGTGTGCGCGTTTCGAAGTATTCTATGCTTCTTAAAGTGTTCGTAAAGATTAAAAAGACGGAGAAAAAAAGATACTTAATAAGTAAATCTATACTCAAGGAACAGAGGACCGTAGAAAATGCACTTTTATTAAAACCTATCCTCCATTCCTCTTGTATGTTGACAAGGTCACATATTGACTATACGATGTAAGGGCTCATGCGATCGCGCAAATAAAAAAAGGACACAGGAAAAAAGTGCAAAAAAAAATAAACTAGATTCAAGAACATAATATTATAGAACATGTACAATATATACGCAAGAGTTCATGCAAGACCAAACCGATAGTAAATGGGTAGCACAAGGCACTAGTCGATACTGAAAAGAGATAAATATAAGCGTTGCATTTCTTCCAGCATGCTTTACTCATCCTTCCATTTCAGAGTCATAGTACTTCTACCCAGCTTCCTCAAAGATGTGTGGATATTTTTAATCCTCTACATAACCTAACTATGGTGTAGTCGCACTCAGAACCTTTAAATAAGACCTCAGAAAAATCTTGTAAAAATAACCATAAATTTCTTAAAAACATAATATGTGTTAAGAATGATTCATAAATTACTACCAAATAGTATGGTAAAAACGGCTGCAAATAAGCCACTACGAGGAGAATGTTCCCTTGCACGAACTCCTTATTCCTACCTAGAGAAGAAAATTTCCTTCACTAATAGGCTCCTTTGTGTACTACATCTTTATGAGGTTCTAATACAATAAACAGTTATGTAGGGAAGTATAGACATGCCCCCAAGCTCTTTATGATCTTTGGTATCAGTAAATAAGTAAAAATTGCAGGAATCAAAAATGGGATTTTGAAGAAATGTTCCAATATATCAGATTTATTGAAGTACCAATCTTGGTCTACAATTCATTAACTAAAAGGTAAAATTATGAGAAAGTTAAAGCGACTGAAGAACAAAAAAAATGAGGTGTAATGAATTTTCGTTTATAACATTTGTCTACCTACAACTATGTTATCCAAAAGTCATTTAGTACTCGTCTTATGAATCTTAAAAACTCAGACGATACGGAAAAGAGCAATCATCGGGAACGGATAAGCATAATAAAGATAATACCAAATTCATTTTTGTTTCTACAGGTTAAATTAACATTCATCGTACCTTAAATAATTTACCTTTTCTCTCATTATATATATATATATATATAATGATGTAAATATATAACAATAACTGCAATAAAAATAATGCAATGCCAATAAGTCGCCAATACTGCGCCACCGAAACTATAGAGAGAGATGAACTTGTTGGTGCCTTTGGTCATGGGGAAAAACTGAAAAGAGTGTATAAAGAATTAATTGAGCGACAGAGTTGTATACATCCACTCAAGAGGTAACATAAATCTCCAAGGGGGAAAAGAACTCAGATCCCATCAAGGGAGGTGGCCCTCACGCAGGATTTTTCTCGTGATAAGTGGGGGCAGCCTTTCTATGTATTCCACCCTTTTTATGTCCAAAGTTATGTTCTTTCTTCTTGATTGTCTCAAAAAATTTCAAGCTCTTCTTTTTTTTTATCTTTATTCCTCTCTTCTAGGGTATAAATATACTATGAAATTAGGGAAATCAAGGTATCCAGTGCCTTAATATATCCTTCATCAAAAGTGTGAACCGCGTCTGGGTCCTTGCCTTCGACCAGTTCCCATCTCTCGTAAGTGTAAGCAAAGTCAACCATGATAATCCGCGCCGTTTCGGCAGCCTGCGCAGCGTCATAGATAAACAAAAGCGACGAGGTGTAAAAACGAAATACTTTTTGGCGCCGCATCGTATCGCGAAGTTCCTCGATATGACGGCGAAACGCAAGCCCGAGATTCTGACTATATAAAAGGAACTGTGAAAGTTCTGCCTTGACCTGGCTGATGGATAAGCTACGACAGTATAGTTTGGTTTTGGTGATATATGTTCGTCGTGCCGCATCCCACATTCGTATCCCGGCCAAACGGATATAATGACGCGCTGAGGTCGAGAGCCGGGACTTCCGTTCCTTGCTCGCTTTCTTTGTCGAGGATGCGTTCAATCCATACTGCCGACTCCCTATTTTTACGTCTAACACGCAAGGGTATTTAAAGCCGTAGCATACGTCTTCCAGAACAATCATCCGGCAGACTTTTCCCTTTTCGTCATCTTTTTTGGCATCACTGGAGTCACTGCGGTTGGGAACTGAGGTATGAATGATCCAGCCTTCCCCATTCGATTGGCTCAGCAACCCCATTTTCTGCCGCGAGGACGGTGAGGAGGTTTTAGACTCGATATTCACTATATCGTTGGCAGCCGGGGATGCGGTGGGGGGCCCACAACATCGATCTATCCCTACCGGAGACGCCGTTCGCATCCCTTCCTCACAATTCAACTCGGGCAAGGATACTTCGGGTTTGGGGGGTGCCCCAGTCGTCCCTTCTGCCCCTATTTTTTCGCGTGAGAGGAGGCTGAGGTCGCAGCGTAGGTGATTCTCATCCCCGGTGATGCTATTCCGAAGCGGATGTTTTTCGGTCGATCGAAGCGAATCTGAGCCATAGTGGCAGCAACAGGACGATGTGACCTGTCGTTTAATTAAATTACGAACGCCATAAAAACGCGGTGCAAAGCGGGCTAACAGCGGGAGCGAGCGGTGTCGTTCAACGTATTGTTTCTCCTTGTATTCAGCCATTGTATGGGCGTGTCTTTCATCATTTCTAAATTCTGAGTGACTAAGAGCGGCTTTTTGAAGCATAAAGCCACTGCCTTGATTCGGTTGTTCAGTTGTTTTGTCGCTCTGAAGACTAAATTCGATATTCTTGATTACCTGAGATTCGTCATCATTATCCAGACTACCAGCTTGCCACCACCGCATGGTTGCTCTCTGCATAAACTCCAGCTCTTTGATACTTACACTAGAGTCTTGATGTTCTTCGTTGCGGAGGCTGGCCGCCAAACCAGAGTCCATTCCCAGAACAACTTTCAAACACGAACGCTCGTAGACGCAGTATTTCGCCCACAACCCATCACTCCACACTAACTCTGGATGGCTCTTTAGTAATTCGCGTCGTACCTTTTCTTTAACCATCTCTATTTGGTAGTCGGCGAGCATTTTGTAAAAGTTTTCTTCTCGCCATGAACAGGACTCCTTCATGAAGACACCGCCGTGAGCGATGGAAAAGTGGTGTCCACCAATCGAGTTGGATGGATTACGCAATCCCTGGGCGTCGCCACAGTCCGAATCATGGCAAAGAAACACAACGCTTGTGCTCTTGTTTTCCACGGCAAAAAAAGGTGGTGGAGAGCGTTTTAAAGGTTCAAGAGGGATCGGAAGCTGATTATGAAATAGACTGTCCGTGGACACGTCGACGTTGCTGCACATATGGCCTTTTTTACCATCGCCTTCGTGTTTGTTTTCGCCAGTTGAAAGCTTCCTAAGAGTAAAACCATGTCTATTACTATCTGAAACATTGCATTTATCGTCATGGCCTAACGGCAGTCTATCCCTAGGGCTCACCTGATCATCACTGTGGTTATCTGAGAAACTTAACAGGTTCAGCGTGCTCGAAGCTTTGTGGATTAATAAAAAAGGGTTTCCAGGGGCACTGCAGCTGACCTTGGGTCTTTCTGAGCCTTCCACACTATCAGCCGTGGTGCTGAATCCTAGAAAAGCCTCGGTCGACAAAAGGTTATCAACATAAGGAAACCTTGGGAGGTTTCGATGTTCTACTCCCGTGCCGTCGTTTTCCCCTCTGCTGGCGAGGGTGCATGGAAACTTATTGCAAACGTTACTTTTCACTGAGGTTGCGAAAGCCCTAGAGTGAGCCCGACTGGCTGTGGTTGGCAGAAATGACTCTAATGTGGATACATCACTAGCAACTTCGAGAGACCCTTCAGATACTTTTTCCTTCAAGGACTTCTGTTGAGGTGAGCTGATATTGCTCGAACCAAATGCCCACATTTTCCCTCTGAAGAGGAGACGACAGAGAAATTAGAGAAAACGATTATAACTGTATATCGATGGAAACTGAAATAAATAGGAGTTAGTTACGTGGTACTTTTACACTATAGATTAGTTGTTATCTAGGTACGCATAAATATTCACATATGCATACACGCTTTTTATGTGTTGATGAATGCAAAAAATGTATAATGTGAACTATTAATCAACACGAGTACATAACACAGCAAAATAGTAAATGAAGCACTGAAGGCAAAAAAAAGGGACTAAAAAGATGACCCTTTGCCTAAAGTATTTTTGAATCCAAAAAATATATACGTACTATAAGTAGGTGTGTTTTCTTTACTGAGTAAAAAAAAATGGAAATACGTAACTTTTGCAGAAACTATTAAGCTTAACTCTTCTAATAGAATACAGCTATGCAGACAAACAGAAAAAAAAGCTAATAACAGTCTAAATATAGGTCACAGATCTGAAAAAATGAACGTTTCTGCACACGTACAATAGAAAACAGATGCTGGTTTATTGTATTATATACTATATCATTAATCTAAGTGCCTTGAAAAGGAAAATAAAAAAGCTTGCAACTAACAACCTTAGCAATGAAGCTATAGTAGTTTCAGATAAATATGTGAGTAAAGAAAGTTCACTATAATGCACTTATATTTATGTATGCGTATTTGTTTGTGTAGTATAAATGTACAGTTTAGAAATTTAGATGTAAATGTATATATGCATATATACTTTATAGTTAACCTTATACTTCAAGAATATAAAAAAATGTAAAAAAAATCAATGTTAAGTGTGACATGGGGTCAATAATTTGTCCATAACATTAAGAAACTAAGAACAATAACAAGCAATCCCTTTTAACGATATTATCATTGTATACTAATATAATCACCCCGAAGTCTAAATGCCAAAATGTGCACATACATATAGATAGATTATATCGGTAATAATTAGAAACACATTTTTAGGGAGAGTGAATTAAATCTTTTCACAAAAAAATGTAGTGACAATAATTCATGACTTCTAAAATATATGCAAAAAGGGGAAGACCTAGTGACAAAAACTACTATTGATCCCCACTATTATCCTTCCTCATTGAAAGTTGTTTTCCAATTTATTTACATTAATCTTTTGATGTAAGCTCCTTGAAAGGAGACATCTATAAATTTGTATGCATTAATTACCCTTGGCTCACATACACCCACTTCGGGTACCTGAGTATCGTATGCGTTGTTGATCCAGCACTATCCCATGAGCGGCCGCCGCCCGTGCGAGAGTGGCCTCAAGGAACACTCTAGCCTCCTGAAGTCGGTCTCGGCCGGCGCATTGGCTTTTGAGGTGTTGGTACACCGCCTCAACGGTTGAATCCTGGGTTGTCCGAGATTTTGGGGAAGGAGGGGCTGCACAACTTCGCGTTAAACCCCGCTGTGACACGAGGGTGGCACCGGCCAGCCCCTTACGGGAAGGGGATCCCCCTGTTACATTGGAGACCCCCCAGGCGGTGCCCAGTGTCAGCCCTGTCAGGCCTAGAGAGCCACAGGGCATGAGAAGCCCCGGGTGCTCGGACACGATCATCCCCACGGCATCCTTACTAGCCCCAAAGGGGCTCACTCGGGTGGTGGAGCCTGTTGTGAGGCTGTTAGGATCCGAGGACATACTCGCCATGGCAGTCCGTGTGAGCAGGCGAAGCTTCTGAGAGGCGTCGACCCGTCGGTAGGGGCTCTTCACGCGAGCGGAGCACGATCGCACCCGGGGGAGGGGGTCCGCCCCCCAAAACCGCCATCGATGATACTCAGAGACCATAGGGCGGGTGGCGGCGGTCTGGGGTCGGGAGGGAAGGTCGTGCATGTTCGACTGGTTCGTTTTTGAGTTTGAACGGTACTGGGACGGATAGCTTTGGGGGTTGCTTCGCGTGCTCCCCATGGGGGTCTCTCTGGGAGAGATCGAGGAGATCAACGATCTATGTGACTTCGAAGGCTGACCAAGATACGGGAACGCCTCACGGTGCGGTGAATAAGATAGCTTGTTGTTCGTCATGGTGAAGTTGGATGCCTTTTGCGTGGAGACATTATGCGCCTCCGTCGACCATTTACCTGTGGAAGACTTCCCTCGCGCGGATGTCAGTCCTGGGTTTATATATATCGACTCAACGTTTTGATACATACAATGGAATTTATTAGTGATATGGCTTTTGATTAAATGATATATATTCAATATGTTGTTTAGATAAAAGGTAGATTAAACTATATGCCAGAATTTTCTAATTGTAATCAAATTATTATGTGGCTTCAGCTTCCTTGATTTTAAGCAGCCGAAGCCAAAAATAACTATAACAAGAAAGATGCAGAAAGAAATTGAATATTTTAACCAAGAAACATTCAAAACTTAAAACATGCAGTGTGTTAAGGATGAATTCATAGGTCTTTTTTTAGGTACCATATTTTATGTATGTTTTCTTTTGAATCATAAAAAAAAAATGCACCAAAATGGTGAAATTTTAAGTAGACAACTGATACATTGTCTGAGAGAAGAAGGATGTTTGAAACAAAAGCGCATATTTTTTGTGTTTTTCTTTGATCAGGTCTGTTTTCTTCAGACTCGATATGTCATTCTAATGGCTATAAAGGGTAAGATCTCCTCCTCTTCATAGTGACCATGATTGATGCATGAAATACAACTGACAAGGCTAACCAAACCCATGCAAAAAAGAAGGAAATAGTGCAAACCAGAGCCTATCATCCCCTTCCTGGAACTGCACCACTTTGTGGCGCCGCGTATTCGCCAGCCCCAGATGCGAAATCATAAGTGTTGCTGTGGTAAAAAAGGTTCATCATTTTTGGTTTGTGCCTAGATACCATTTTTATCGCGATGCTGATGTTAAAAAATCATTGGATCTTGAAAGTGATCAGTATTTTAGAAATTTGAGTCTCACTGTGATTACTAATGCAATCAGAAAAAGGAAAAGGACTTAGAAGGCTGTATATGAGTACTGCGTGTAGAGCCGAAATAAGCTTTTCACAAAAGCCATCTTTACCCTGGCGTCACGTCAAATAGAAGGTAAAAAGACCTACTTATTTGACACCATGGTGGGCCTTTAATAAAGATAGGTATGTACCGTAAATAGCTTGCTCAACCCCAAACTTACTTTCAGGTATAGAAAAGAGGTTGCGCAATCCACATTTCACAAAAGATGAGGCTTCAGTTCGATCCGCCGATATCGATGTCCCCATGTTGTGTCAGAGAAGGCTTTTAGGGGAACATCTGGTTAGGCTTGTACCGGCGTTGACATCCGCCTGCAGACATGGTGTTTATAGAGGGCATCCAAATGACAAGAATTAATAGGAGGCGGTAGACTTATGGTCATGGGATGATCTACATGTCTCTATCTGTGTCCAGTACGGTACCTTCAGTAGGAGCGACATCCTTACCACTCATACGCAAACTTTTTTATGCGCAGGATTTTGCCATTGTGTGCGGTAGAATTATTTGTCCTCAGGACGGATTCCGACTCCTTTACTTCCTTTGGGTTCATCACCTAGACACTAGTATGGTGCAATTTGATGAAAATAATAATAGTAAATACAAACAAATAGATAGAAGAACTATTTTAAAAGTTAGATATCAAAATATGACGAAAGCGTACACGCAAACTAATGTTTCACACATTAGGAAGAAGAAATACGTATGCAGTTTTAAAATAAGGTGAAACACAAGTAAACTTAGCATTTCAATGTTAATAGGTAATATAAATGATAACTGCAATAAAGTGACACCAATCCGTACACTTGTTCAAACTCTTTCCTTGATACACAAACAGATTAAAGGGAAAAATCTACTGTGCAACGATATCTATTTTTTCCATTTCCTCCCCTTCTCTTCTAGATTATCTTAGCTCATAACACATCCGGTAAAAAAATAAGAGAAAAAACACGCAAGTACAAGGAGAGGAGAGGAAATTTCATCATCCTATTAAGAATTTCTTATTTGGGATCATATTATCCCATAAGTGTCTCATTCCTACTATAACTTCTCGATTTCAAAACTGCGATACATTCAAGTGCGCACAAGCGCATTACATTTCCATAGTATTCATCTTTTTTTTCCGAGTCAACATGATAGTCTAAAAGAAGAGAATAAAATTTTTACACAAAATGACTACGAAATAAGATATCCTCTGAACATTCGTCTAGACGTATTCTTTGTTCCCTCCATAACTGAACCGAGGTTTTATATTTTCACCCACTTATTTTGTAGTCCTTTTTTTCTCATCATTCACTTTTATTCCATTCTGTTTATACTTTCCCGTATTCCTTGAATTTGACGCTAGGGCGTCAGCAAAGATGACGATTATCAATACCTTCCTTTTCATAACTATTGAATACTAATATAGATTCCGTCCTCATTTCGGGCATTGCTCCCCGCTTACGCTGATTCAAGGGCGGCCTCTTGCTGGCGTTGTCGTTCATCCTCTGCGGCCTCTTCGGCGGCGCGCTGCCGTTCGGCTTCCGCCAAGAGAGGCTTGAGCTCATCGGAAGTCATGATGTGAAAGTTGGGTACCATACTCACGTGCTCGATGTAGGGATTGAGCAGGCGCTGTTCAGTAGGGGCTGGGACCTTGCGAAGGACTGCCACTTCCACCCGCTCCATACTGAGCTTGACGTTGTCCATGTTCTTGCTTATCACTCGCAGCCCGAGGAGGATGCCCTCGGTGAGGGTCATCCCCGTCTTCCAGTCTTTTTTTAACATCGCCTGGGCGACTTTATCACTTTGCCCGATTGCGCAGGCCAGCCACGCGCCGTAATCCCCACTCGGTTCGGTCGAGTAGAGCTGATAGCCATGATAGCGATCCCAGCCCACGATTAAAAAAGATACGCCGAAGGGCCGAACCCCGCCGTATTGTGTGTAGAGCTGCTTTTCATCGCAGATCGCCCGGCAGAGGTCCTCTGCCGCCATGGGCTCGTGAAAGGTGTAAAAATGACGCTGGGCAGTAAGTCGGGCTTGGTTAATCAGCGCGTACGCGTCCGAGGTGACCCCGGCCACACTACAGCCGAGGTGGTCATCAATGCGGAAAACTTTTTCCCCGCTAATATCCCGATTCTGCGGGTTCTCATCGTCGAAGAGCTCGTTCTGGAGCATGCGCTCGGCGACCAGGGCGATGCCCTCCGCTGTGCGCACGCCGATCACCGTACCGGCCTGCCGAGTTGCCTCGGAGGCGTACTCCACCTGATAAAGCCGGCCTTCCGGGGAGAAGGTCGTGGTGCGTGTATCATACCGTGAGGACATTCACTTAAGGTTAATCACAAGAGGATCTCTCCTGCAGCGGGGTGTAACAGGGTGTGTGGGGGGTTAACGTGTGTGGTCTAGGATAGCTAAGATGAGAGGAAAAGGAGAGGGAAGACAGATCGGTCCGATTTGTCACAGAAGAGAATTTGACTCGGAAGGCTGTGCTTTTAAGGGGGAGGGGGGGGGGAAAGTCACCCATCAATACAGGGATTGCTGTGATAACGAGAGGAGCACACGAGCAAGATAGCCCATTCAATAATACGCAATAGGAACCAAAAACATGGCACAGAGTGGGGCAAAATATATTAGTAATTGCATTCCTGGACCATGAATAATGAATAATAACAATTAAACAGAGAGATAATGGTATAAAATACATGTATAAAACGTACTTTTCCTGAAGGCATACAGATTTGAAGAATCTGATACGCAAATCTAGTACTTCCACCATTTTTTTTTGCACAGTTTCAACTTTAGACACATATTACCGTAAAAAATTATTTAACAGAGCATATTAGCTCTCACGCACGGCATCTAGCCTCTTCATGTTCGCTTTACTATTCCTTTAGTCAGAAAACGTTCTAGTCACCCCATGGTTGACCTAGTACATTCTTTTTCTCCTCCTTTAGGATAAATTCAGCTATAACAAGACGCCATATCGCCGTGAGATCCTCCGCTGGGAGGCCGAAATACTGCGCATTGAGATCAAACGCCCATTGGCGGGCCTCTTCAACGATGGAGAGCTCATCCCGGCATTTAAACAGACTCGCGGTCATGGCGTCATAGAGAAAGCAGCGCACGATGGCGGAATCCTGTAGAACATAGTTTTCCATTTTCCGTATTTCCTCCACTGAGACCTTGCTGCGATCCCATGCCTCCGATGGAGAATTTCTTTTCAGGATATTGGACATTTCATTTCCCTCTTTTCCCGGCGAGACGGCACCATCGTGCTCGTCCTCCTGCAGTAGACGTTTGAGAATGTGAGCGCGAAAATCCACCACGTCGTTGGCCTTGGCGAGGTGTTGAAGGGCAATCGACAAAATGGCATCGTCCGAGGTCATCAGGGCGGAGCACCCTGCGATCCAATCGCGCGCCATCGTACTTCCCCCGGAAGCGTATAATAATGCACGACAATACAACTTTCGGGTGAATTGCGCAGCCTCATCGGAGGCCTCGATCGGGACGCCAAAAAACATCCCCGAATCAGTGCCGAATCGAAAGCGGCTGATCCATTCCGAGGTGGATTTTGAGAAAAAGCGCTTGTGATTGTCAGGGTGGGGAGGAAAGGAGAAGTCCCTTCTTTGTGGAGAGGCGGAGATTGCTTCCAGAATAGAAGTTCGACTCCCTACAAAGAGGGAGGTTAGTTGTCTACACCCCGCCGCGGAAGCCTTATAGTGGCGCATTGTTTGCTTGCATATGTATCTATAGAATTTGTATGCCAATATGCTTTTAGCTGGTGTTTACCCACGTGTTTGCGTATTTGTATAAATCCGTATTTTTATTTTATAAAAATACAATGCTGTGAAAAGCGCACTTTGCAGTTTGATGAAGACGTTTTGAAAGCAACACAACTTCGAACACAAACCTTGATAGAACTTGGTTATCGATTTCAGGTTCACAGAAAAGTAGTCAGCGATTGTTTACCTCTAAGTTCTAAATAAACAAGTTAAAGAGTGAGGATGGAGTACATGCTACATCACGCACCGAAACTTGTAGAACGTTAATCAAACAATAGGTGTATATCGCTGATATTCACCTAAACAGCTTATGAAACCAGCCAGGTAAAGGAATGAATTTACTGATGAATACATTATCACTCAATAGAATATCGTAAGCATGTCAATTTGTGAAATCTGATGGTAATAATAATAAAAATAACAATACTAATATTTAATCTAAAATAATGAACATAGATTACTTTATTTTCTAGACATAAGCCTTGAATGAGTAACCTGTGAACTTTTACTTTTTGTTAGGAGCTATACGAAACAGAGCCGAATGTTTGCGTGTGTGTGTTTGTGTGCACCGATACAAGGATACTAGAATTTCACTTGAAAACAAAAAATATATAAGGATCCCAATTCGCACATTTCATTTTCAACCGTTCATACAACGCCTCCACAAAACGATCCCTTTACATATATCTCATGGTCCCTATTCCGGTTGCTCTTTATTTTCCCCTCATTTTGTGAGGTTATTCGGTGTGTTCAAGAGTAGGGTCACTTTTTGAACACAATTCCAGCATTTTGTAAACGTCAAGAGCGCCGTTAAAGTCTAGCTCCGGACGCGATACCCACGCACAAGCGCGGATGGCAGTCTCAGCGACCACTTTCACATCGACGGGAGGGGTAAGCAATTTATCACCCTTCATTACCTTAAAAAGAAGGTGAAATGGGTACCCCGCGAGACCAAGTGGGACCGGAAGGGCTGTTTGGGTAAAAGGGACGGTGGCATATCGCGTACCGTAAATAAAACCAGGTCGAATCACCACCCCAAACACCCCCAAGTCTTTGAAGATCGCCTGCTCGACGCTTTGCTTTCCTTCAAAGTATCCTTTCAGCAGGTGTTGGTTGTCAAAGATAGTCGGGCAGTATTTGTTGTAGGGCTCCGCAGAAATGTACACGAACTTTTTGAGATTTGGCAGCAATTTAGAATCTGAAAGACCCTTAATAATATTGAGGTTAGCTTCACCGTTAATTTTTATCGCTTGTTCATAATTCAACGTGAGGATACCAATACAGCTGATCACCACCGTCGCATCGGCATGCTCGCGCAGCATATCATGGACTTGGGATTTGTCTGTCGCCTCGACGCAGACAAAATTCAACGTGTCAGTTGAATTTTTTTCCGAAAGTGGAATTTTCGTGTTTATCTTCCCGCCTCCCTCCGTAGTTTCCATTCCAGCTTGTTGACCTCCCACCTCTTTTACCCGTTTTACCAGAGCCCCTAATGGGGTCTGCGGGGATGGGGTGCCGTGGCGTGTTGGGACCACCACCTTATAGCCTCGTGAGAGGGCCTTGCAAAGGACGTTGAAGCCAACAAAACCTGTTCCACCAAACAAAATCAGCTTTTCCTGCATGTTTGAGGGTGTTAATATCTCTTGTAGGGATTAAAAAACACGGTAAAAATGGAATTTGCACTGGAAATAACAAAATGGGAAGGTTCACGTGAACTTAGATTCAATAAGATATCTGGAGGGGTAGATACAATTTTTTTTATGAAGTTCAAATCTGAGAAGCTCATTTAGAAATAAAAAGGAAAGGGTAGAATCATATCAAGGACATATACACGCACGTATCGCTTATAAAGGAATATAGATTAGTTCAAAGTGAACTGCGTTAGTGCGAGAAACGACCCATCTATGGTACATATTTTTGACCCTTTTAATTCCTTTGGCAGTGAATCATCTTGGATAGAGTTTTGCTTGAAATTAATATCTAGCATCATTGCTTGTTCAGCCCTCTTTTACTTCTGTTGTTGTTAACCGAGATGTAGATTCGCACTCAACCCCACCTGTTATCGGTATTCTGTGCTGTTTCACATAATATACTAATATAGTTTGAGTAATTATCGCCCTCAATTCATAGTCTATAGCCCTGAGATTAAAAAAAAACATTTTGTATGTTCACACATTATTATTACAGGTACGTTTTTTCTACTGTATCTACTTGCCTAACGGTGGGTCATCTACGAGAAATAAATGGGAACACTTGCTTCCATTTTTTCTAAACTAATCAAAGCGGCAGGTACACAGAAGATTTTAAATATTAAAAAAAACATATTGGTATAGGTATATGTATATATATACATATACACTGTCTACTTTCCGTTTTTGTTAATCTCATTTATAACCACAACACTAAAATATTGAAAGCAAACATCTACACCGCAGAGTAGTACGAAAGCAGGTTCAATAAAATCATCATACCTCATTTAGTGCTAAAAAAGGAACAGGGTATTTAGCGGTTAGCAAGATAGATTACCCCGGAAGATTTAATTGGGAGTTATGCCTTTAGACGACATATTTAAACTTTACCACACGTTAAACCAGGTTCTATATAACCCAAAGCACCCTACACCTTCTAAATCATGAAACAAAACCGAACCCGAAGATAGTTATTTAAAAGAGTGTTTTCTCTCCTTTTTTTTTTAAGTAGTACTGTTTGAGGATAATATAACGAAATATATAAGTACGCACATGAAAATAAAAAGAAATATGCACACGGAAAGTACATGGTTGGATGTGATTGTTTGAAATTCCCATGGAAACCATTCAGTCCTGATTAATTGAAAAGGAAAACCGTGAGATGTGATTCTTTAAGACATTTGGAAGAGGAGAATTCATTACAATTACACCCTTGTACAATTTATCGCTTGCGCGATTAATCACCCATGAGAATGGCAGCGGGGCTACTCGCCATTTGAAAGTGCGTATTTTCAGCATTTTCGGAAGAAAAACGGAGACGGGGTGGCTCTGTGTCGTCACGATCGTCTTCATTCAGATCCATCGTGCCGTTTCGGGGCCTCTTGTGATTTTCTTCCCCTCCCCCGACCTTATCACCGAGTAAAACCTCATCCATAAACGCATTTAAAGGTTGGATGTTGTGGAGGCTTTCGGCAAGGTCGAAATGCGAAAGCGAGGCGGTGGTAGAAGTGGGGCTGGCGGCCTCAGGAATCCCTTGTTTCCGCACCGGCTCCACAAGCTGACTGAAGGAGCACCCATAGGGCGAACTCCCCACCACCCCATTTCCACTCCCACGGATTAACGATTGCGTGTAGGTTCCCGCGGCTCCGACCTGGGAAATCTCTTCCAGGCCATTATACTCCATAAAACGCGCGCGCGCGACGCCTCCAGGGCCATAATCCTCAGAAAATTGCCGAACCAAACTCAAAACGCTAACTTTGCCCTGGGGATAATCCGTGGGGAGGCGTTCATCGTAGTAATCGGTGCGGTGAAAGTACTGCCAAAGGTTCAGTCCCGCGCGTTGAAGCTCCTCGATAAAGCCGCGCTCGGCCTCTTCGGCGCGCCCGCATACCGCGCTGCTGTGGTGATAAGAATCACAAAAAAGACAAACATCGGGAAAAAGCTCATCGCGAAGCGGCGCCAGCCGAGCGAGCAAATCGCCGGAATTAATATAAAGGAGAAAGCCCTGGACCGCATCCGTACTATACCGCGCTGCGGCGAGTGGAATTTGCGCGTCGTCAAGCTCTTTAATGGCGATCCAGTAGCTGGAAGGGTAGGCCTTGCTGCCGGCCCCGAGTAGTTGATAGGCCTCATGGAGGCGGCGCCATTCTTTTTCCTTGTGTTCCATTTGGTATTGATGAAGCCGACGTTGGACGATTTCCGGATTAAGACACATATCGAGAAGTTGGATATTTTCGTCCGCTAACACGCGCTTCGCCAAGGTCGTGCAAGCCGAGCTGCGATGCCCCACACAGGCACCACACTCCTTGCATATGGGTACTCGGTGCTCATGAATAAGTTTGACCGCCAACATCAGCTCCTTTTTACGAAATTCTTTTGCTTGTCGGTCATCTTGATCGATTCGCGCGATGGCCTCCCCGACCCTCTGGAATTCGCTGGGAAAACGTATAAAATCCAGGTCATACTCCTCCAAGACCAGACGCGCCACCTGAAGATCCCATGGCTCTTTGACAGTTGAGGTACAGGTCTCAGTGCAGTGGAAGGGCTCCAAACATATCTCACATATGCTATCCTTGAGGGGCGCCACCTCAATAACCTCCTCGGGGACGCGTGCGTACAGCCCGGGGGTGAAAATTTCCGGCAGGGACCCATCAATCAAGCAAAAGAAAAAGGAGCTTGTTTCTTTGATCTCATTCAAGTTATGCTGGATCCGAGGCGGGAGCACCCGACGACGAAACATCGTATCTAGAGTCTCGACGCTCCGCAGAAGCTGATCCCATTCCCGAAATCGGCGGTTAGTTTTGAAGAAGTGCTCCGCCTTTTCTAGAGCCGGGCTGTATTGATCATCACTGGGTTTGCTAAAGACCGTTTTGGATGGCATCAGTTGATACCCCGCGTGCAGCCACAGCGCGTGTCGTTCACGAGGCCCCGTAATCGCGCCCCGCACGCGATCAAACGCAGTGAGCAGGTCGTCGTAGGGCCTTTCCTCCATAATAAGTTGCGTTGTGCGGTCGAGGACGGTGGTCATTCGCAGCGGCAGCGCAATCCCATGCCGATAAAGCTTGTCCACCGCCTCCATATAACTTAGAGCCTGCAAACTGGACTCGGCCGCGGTCGCGGTGAACATCCCCGAACGACGCGGCAAGCGCTCTCCACCACTGTCCCCATGCAGCGTTGGGGTTTTGGTGAAGGGAATCTCACACGGACAACGCTCCTCGAGGTGGCGCCAGGTATCACAGCCTCGACAGCCGCCTTTAGCGCTGATAAGCCGTCGGAGCCAGTGCCGTACCGTCGGGTGCATCGCGGCATCCATCGCGGCGATCGCGGACGGGTTATCGGGAATCCGCATCGACCCCGAGCTCCCCGCGTCGTTCTCGTCGCTTTCATCCTTCCCCGTTGTCGCCTCCTTCGCGTGGGCATCCCACCCGTACGCGAAGAGCATAAGCCGCGCGATCCCTGGACGGGGGGTGTGCCGCCGCAGCCGCCATAAACTATCGCGGAACCCGTTCGGAATCTCCAAGTACGTCGCCCCCTGCGCGGAAAGGTAATTCCCCCCCCGCTCCACACTCCGCACGATATGTCGGAGGCTTTCATAGACATCCGCCCGCCAAAGCCCCCGCCAGGCCGCCATTATCCCGCGATACCTCCGTGTGAGGGCGTGGACGCGCTGGGCGTCGCTCACGCGGCGCTCCGTCCCCGTCAGGACCTCGGCCGAGACGACCTTTCGAAACCCCACGGCGTCCGCGAGGAGTCTCCCAGAGGTCGCGGGCTCCCCATCCCGCGGGACCACCGCCGAGTACCATCGATGGGCGATTAAATACGGAAGAAAGAGAGCTAACTTCTCCGCCAGGACGGTCCGGCAGAGTTCCCGTTTCGGGTCCCCGCATTCCTGCAAAACGGCATCCAAAACCCGCCACGCCCCGGTGCGGTCGCGGCAGCCCCCGTCCGCGTCGTCGTCGGTGTCGACGATGCGCCAGACAAGGGCGCGCGCGAGCTCGGCGGCGTGGGCCCCCGCGTGAAGTTCCACAAACGATAAGGTGTAGACCACCCCAGCCTCCACCGCCGCGTCGTCCATTAACGGGGACGAGAGCTGAATACAACAGCGATGCAAAAATCCCTTATTCACCCCGGTTAACGGCATTTTGGGTGTGGGGTTGGGTGTTAATAAGTGTACGAGGGAAGACAGGCCCAACCAGGTGTTACACCGTGTATCGCGTTTCTGGTGATCTTTAGTGGTTCAACTGAACTAATAATGTGGTGAAAAGAATTAGGTAAATAAATAAACGAGTTGCTAAACTTTATTTTTTTATATATTTTTTTTGCTTCTATGTGAACAATATTACAGACAATTTTTCCTGCTATAGTAAAAAACAGGACACCACACTTAATAGGCTGACAAGAGGAGAAGACTTGCCCAGCAATTACCACCAGAGTTCTTCCACGGCAAGGTTACTTGAAGCTAAAAAGGAACGGGTGTGAAAAACAGCAACAAGGCAAAAAATATAGTGTATCTGCTTCTACTATGTTAAAAGGACTCAGGATAGATAATACACTTCTCTAATGTACTGTTTGCTTTTTCAAGCTTCCTTCAAAGTAACGGTTATGATATCAACGTGTAAAACTTTCTGGTAAATAAATGTGAGTCCAATTTTTCACACTATATTTCAATATACAATCCTATTTTTCAGCTACAATATATCGAACTTGTACTATAGAATTAGATATCGACCAAACAAAAGCAACTAAAAAGGCTATAGATGAAAAAATGTATGATCCTTAATTAGCGCCTCTTGCTATGACTATTTTTATGAAGAGTTAAAGGGGAAAAAAAGTGACACGTTCATGTGGGAACATACCCGCACGCAAAATATACCTATGGACCAATAATTTTAAGAATGCATCTTATTTAATGGTACCTTTTACAACGTGCTAGATTTTTAGGGGAGTAAAAGAGTAGTTGTCCATGAAATCTCAAGGGAAGGCATGGCACCCTTTTATTTTTCTTGCAGTCCCCACAAATGGCAGCGCCAGGTAACGCAAAAGTAATGGCTTTAAGATAATGTTGAGTATTTTTTTCGATGATCGATATGACCTCGCGTTGTTTCCTGTAATTATTCCACTGTTCGTGTGGTTTTGAGAGAATCGGTGAAGCCATGACATGTGTGACCTGCGTAAAGGTAGAAAGTGGAAAACTAAATACACAACCAAAGCGAGAACTAGTTTATCCAGCCACCCACATATTATTCCATATATACATGATCCTTTTGTCTTTAAATGTGTCTAAGATCATAAACTAATAATCATCGTATCAGTGCTATCTAAGCTTTGAGAACGCTACTATGCTCATAAAAAATGATTCAAACATTTTAGGGAGACTATAAAGAAGGTACATTTCACCAACATTTTAAGGTTTATTATGCCAAAAAGATTTTCCAACCTACCTGTTTTGTTTTGATAGAACGCAGTAAAAAGCTTACATTCGTGCATCACAAAAGATGCACGCGTGAGTGTAGTTACATTGAGATTGCATCTGCCTTGAAACAATATCGTGCCTTTGAGCACCCATTCCGCGATGCCTGAATAGTACACCTCCATTCATGAATTCCGCTCCTTCCCCTTCTTTCCTTCCTTCGTTTTAGCCTGTCTAGTTGTCTAGTTATCCGAACCAGTCTTGGCCAAGTGTAATAATTCGCGCGCCTGGGGAATCCAGCCCCGCCACGCCCCCCCAGGGTAGTTGGTGTCCAGGTACCGCATCGCGGCCCGCTCCGACATCGCCACATCCGGGCTCACGGGGGATGCCTGCATCACGACCAAGGCCACGAGGGCCGCCCAGGACTCCTCGGAGCTGCACCCCTCCGGGCGGCGCTGGGCCAGCGTCCGGAGCGGGATCCCGACGTAGGCCCCGAAGGAGTCGTTGAGCGGGAAGCCGCCGTTGCGGGACTGCAGGACGAAGAGCTCCGCCACCCGCGAGGCGCCGGGGACCAGCGCCACGACCCGCTCCACCACCGCGCGCATGTACCGCTCGGTGGAGACCGCGGCCGGGGCCAT